TATATATATATGTATATAATATTTAATAAAAAAAAACACAAATCTACCTCCATATTAAGTCCTTAAAACCACAGAGCATGTTAGGTTTCATTGTATCTGTTTTCTGAAACGGATGCATGAAGAATTGTTTAAGACTTAAAAAAACAAAAAAAAAGAGTGAGAGAGATAAAGTGATACTTTACACACATCTCAAAAACCTGTTACACTGTTCCAGTTCTTTTCAAAACATTCTAATAATTAGGAAACCAGTTAAGTCAGTTTCTAGTAATGCTGGTGCTCTGGAAACACCTTCATTATTTCATGAAACAGTCTTTCTGTAGTACTCAAACTAATAATGAAACTAATTAAAATAAACTAATAAAATAAACTAATAATAAAAATTTTTAACAACATTTACACAAACATTCTTGTTTGTTTTTGGCTCTGTCAGTTTATTTTGAATTTATATTATATGGAGCATTGTATAAAGTAATAATAAAAGTATGGGTGTTTGCTGATCTTATTGTTTTCTGAAAAATATGACATGAAAGTAGAGTACAGGCAGGAGGCGTGGTTTACAGAGAGAAGAATAAATATAGTCTGACTGCTGCTTCCTGGTACAGTGACATTTCTCCTTTCCTTGAATAACAGCAGTTTCCTTCTGCAATGGGCGACGGATTTATCATAGCAATAGACTTTGGGACAGCATTTAGCGGATATGCCTTTAATATCAGTGCCAGAGGGGAAGAAAGTGACCCTCGCTTGAAAAGATGGGGGAAAGAGTATGGATTAGAGACCCCAAAGACTCCAACCTGCATTTTGTTTAATGAAGATAAAACATTTCTTAGTTTTGGTTATGAAGCCCAAATGAAATTCAAGGACATGAGGGGAGAAGAAGCAAAGAAACATTATTTCTTTGAAGACTTTAAGATGACTCTCTACAAGAAAGTAAGTACAGTACATTACTGGACAGTTATGTGCTTTAACATTTACACTCATAAATGCTTCAATTTAAGTTAAACTTCAGCTTAATATTCACCTGCTGAGCATTGCATAATTATTCACTGCAATAGAGTCTTTTGTTGCAAATTAAAGAATAAAAAACATTTTTAAACACATGGGTATGCAAATACAATGATTTCTGCATATTACATCGGAGTTGATCTTTAGTTAAGAGTTAATTTAATATAAATTCTGATTAAGTTTGATAAAACTTTTTGACACCAGAAGAGAACAAAAAGGAGACATGATGTAGATCAATCATTTTTTAAAAATGGTAACCTGAGAACATTAAAGGGAAATGTACAAAGCTGCCATCAAAAAACTATTTTTTTCTTAAAATGTTGGTTAAAATGATTCAAAATACATCAGGAGTATAATCAATGCTCTGCTGTATCTATGATCTAAATAAACATTTCCAGAAACTCAGTGATCTGAAGATTAAAGATGCCAGCGGGAAACCTTTGGAGGCACTAAAAGTTTTCTCAGAGTCCCTGAGATTCCTGAAGGATGACGCTCTAAAAACCATCAGTTCCAACACTGGGGGGTGGAAGTTCACTCCCTCTGACTTCACCTGGGTTCTCACTGTTCCTGCCATCTGGGATGAGTCAGCTAAACAGTTCATGAGAGAAGCTGCAGAACAGGTAAAACCAGATTTAACAGAGAACAATGACGTTCAGAGAATTTCAGAAAGATGAGAGTTGTTTTCTTTTAGGCAGGAATTGTAACAGAAGGATGGGAGGAGAAACTGCTTATTGCTCTGGAGCCAGAAGCTGCTTCTATCTGGTGTAAGAAGGTTCCACCAGACGGATTCATCTTAAAGAACCGGAGCAGAGAGTCACTGGATGAGTCTCCAGGGACTCGGTACATTGTTGTGGACTGTGGAGGTAATGTCTGTGATTCTGAGTTATTGATTCAATAAGAAAGAATTTGTAACATCTTTACACAAAAGAACATTATAAAAAATGATGGTTATTATTTGCAGACTGTTGTTAAAGGAGAATTCCGGTTTTTAACACTTTTAGCCCATTTTCTGTAGTGTCCAGGATGAAATCGAATGATCGACACCAAAATTTTGACGATTGGT